CGGCCCTGTATACAGGGTTCCCTGCAGTGTTCCATTCCCTTGGGTAGATCTAGCTATGGCTTACGAGGGGTTATTGTCTATAGAGGAATTAAGAACTATACAGGAGTTTATTAGTCATCCGTACTTTACCTTGTTAGGTTATTAAGCACAGAAAGGAGGATCTATTCAACTCCATATATATATAGTTCCAAGTGTATGATTCTTCTATTTAATTGATTGTGCCTTTTTGCCTTTCATTTTTTTGTTGGTATAATTAGAATCCTTACCACTACCTACTATAGCATTAAGGTCCTCTCTCATGTAAATCCCTGCAGTTTTGAGGGCTACTTTGTGATCACTATATAGCGGACAATTATTTGCTCTTAAATATAGACTATTTTTTGCACTCGGTCACAACAGCTACTATCAAGTGAATCACTAATCATATGATTTGCTGTTATCTGACCATATGAGGCACAACGATGAGCAGCTATAATATTTTTTAGTCCGCTACTAGTTACATAAGGGTTATCTCTTTCCTTCAGATTGTGTCCTTTTTGGCGACAGGATTAATAAAATTCCCTGTGTCTTGCATGGCTTTTGCAATCTTGTTCTTTAAGGTGCCATTTGCCCTTTCTACTTTCCCACTACTCTAGGGGTGATAAGGGGTATGAAGGCCTAGCTGATCCCTAAGGCTTTTATAATTTATTGCATTATTTCCCTGGTGAAATGGCTACCTCTGTCACTTTCAATCACTTCCGGTACCCCGTATATACATACCAGTTCCTTCAGAAGCTTACTTGTTGTTACTTTCGTTGTGGCTTTCAACACTGGGTAGGCCTCAGGCCAACCTGAAAAGAGATCAATGCACACTGTGACAAAGTGCCCTTCGCCACTTGGTCCTGGAGAGGCTTGCTTGCCAGCCTCCTCCCCTGTGACTATGGCCCCTGGGAGATTGTACCCTTTTAAACGGGCATTTGGGCTTATGGACTTTTATCGGACTGTGTATGGCCCTTTAAGAACAGTCTGTGGGCACATTGTGACTTTGGTGAACAATGCCCCTTTAAGACTATGGCCCCTGGAAGATATTGCCTGTTAAAGACTATTTTAGCAGATTGGATTTTAAAAGACTCTTCCTTTAAATTCTATTTGAGCAGTTCTGCAGCTTTAAATTGGCACTTCAGATGCAGCCGAAGTGCCAAAGTAGTCGAAGTGGCCGCCATTCGACAAACGAACACGTGGCAGCCGACATCTTTGTTCATTCGAACGAGGTCAGCGGTATGTGTAGCCACATTTCCACGAACACCGCTGACCCTTACCTTCTCCTACACTCAGTTTTCAGCTACAGAGACTAAGTCCCATTCAGCAGTTTGAACTCACTGCTATACTAAGCTAAATGCACGAACGACCCCGTTCGTGCATTCAAATGGGACTTAGTCATTTTTCTGTGTAAAATAGACCGACCGGTCGGTCATAAAGGACTTCCACCTAACTTTTTAACCCCTGGATGGAATTGGCTGAATTTTGGATATGTTTGTAATTAAAGTGTGCTGAGTTCGAATATGTAATTTTATATGAAGATTGAATGTATATTTTTAAAGTTACAGTGTATGTGTAAAAAGTATATTTTTTCTTCCTGTGATAATTACTTTAACCCATTGTGTTCAGTAATTATATCACAGACAGAGGGGAGGGTTTGTGTGTAATTGATGGGAGTGTTTGTACGATATACTACGTGTTTATTGGTTGTTCTGCAAAATCCTGTTGGCGGTCCTGTATGTGTAAAACCTCCATAAAAGAAGGCCCTTTGGTGCCAAGTAAACAGATCTTCTTGACCCTCAACACGTAGTTTTGTCTCGTGATTGGAGGGGACAGCTATACTCACACTGGGGATTGCTATGCTATGCATACTCCCCTGAGCTCTAATCACTTAGCTCTTTTAAGAGCTTGTTCCTGATACGCTCTCCTGGAGGAGAGGTCTTCCCCACACGGTCCTGGAGGACAGAAGCTGATCCACGGTGGACAGAAGACGGTGGGACTCCAGTTAAGCTACGGCGGTTGTGAAGTCTGCGGTGGTTGAGGTGTCGGGTGTGGTGCTTGTGGTCCTCAGCGCAGGCTAGGAAGCGTCCATCAAGGGAAGGTACTCGGTCGGGGTACGAGGAGTTCCGTTACACACACCAACACATATTCATACACTCCTACCTTAGGCAGTTGAATATAGTCTATCTGCAGTCTTTGAAACGGGTAAAGTGGCCTTGGTGTATGCTTACTTGGTGTTTTAACAGCCTGTCCTGGATTGTTTCTAGCACAAATCATGCAAGCTTGGGTGTGTTTAGCTGCTACAACAGTAAATCCGGGTGCTACCCAATGGGTGTTTACTATGCTGTTCATGTGCATCTTGGATAGACGTGTAGGTCCATGGGCCATCTGGGCCATCATGGTGTACAACACTCGTGGTAGAAACAGTCTTTTACCTTTCCTCCACATTCTGTCATCATCAGGTTCTGCATCTTTTTTCCTCCAGAGGTCATGATCGTCCTTGCTTGCCTGTCTTTGTAAGCTCAGCAGTATATTGTAGTCAACAGCTTCATCTGTAAGAACAACTTGCAGGAAGGTAGAAGGATGTACTTAGATTGCTGCTTGCTTGGCAGCTTTGTCTGCTTTGTGGTCTACTCTTGTAATTTCATCTGTGATCTTCATGTGAGCTTCCACCTTGATGATGCCTACTTGAGTGGGTAGCAGGATAGCGTCCAAAAGTGCACTCACAGCTTCAGAGTTCTTGATTGGAGTACCTGCTGGGTGAGAAAATCATGGGCCCACCATGTAGGGCCAAAATCATGGGCTATGCAGAAGGCATAACAAGAGTCTGTGTAAATATTAGCAGTCTTACCAGAGGCCAGTTTGCACGCTTCAGTGAGTGCCTCCTGTGCAGAGCAGTGAGGAGGGAGTGGTTCAGTTTTTATTCTCATGTGCAGAGACTACAGCATATACAGTGTGGAAATTATCCTTCTCATCAGCATATCTGGAACCATCTACAAAAAACTCAAAATCTGCATTAGATAATGGAGAATCAATTACATGCGAAAAACCCGCTGTCTCTTGTGCCATTAGTGCTGAACAATTATAGGGTACCTGGGCTTCAGCTAACTCATCTGGTGAAATTGAATTTACAAAAAGATAAACTTACGTACCATTCCCACTATCTCCATTCCCCTTGTTTAAATCCAGGTGAAGTAATGTAGATGGATTTAACAATATACACCTTTTCAATGTAACATTAGATGGCATAAGCAAGGCACGTTGCATTCTGAGATGCCTTGCAGTATATACGTATATTGGTTGAACTTGTATATATCAGTGGCTTTGTCCAGGATTGCAGTAACAGCCACCACTGGGTGCAATATTTTGAACTGCAGTCTTTCTACTTCCCCTGAGATGTTTGTGGCATAGGAAATACAATGTCCCGAGAAAATAAAATTTTTAACACATGCCTGCAGTTTCGCTTTTGTAGCTTTGCACCCTGCTTGTGTCAGAAATTTCAGCAAGGAAACCGTTTGGGCATTACACGTTTCCATTTCTTTGCAACATAAAAGTAAATCATCGATATACTGCAATAAACTTACGTCATCTGCCCTTGGCCACTCTTCAAGAATTTGGGCCATAGCCATGCTGTACATAGTGGGTGAGCTTTGTGCGCCCTGGGGCAATACTGTCCAAGTGTACTGCTTGTGTTTATGTGTTAATGCAAATAAATGTTTGCTGTCGGAATGCAAGGGACACTGAAGAATGCATTTGCCAAGTCAATAACAGTAAATATCTTAGAGGAAGGTAGTATTTGTGACAACAAGGTGTGTGGGTTGGGTACATTAGGGGCAATGAGTTCAGTTACAGCATTAATTGCCTTTAAATCATGTACCATACGGTAGACCACAGGTTTCCCTTTCTCTTGCTTTTTCTTAATTGGGTACAATGGTGTGTTGCAAGGGGAGATGGTCTGGACAATTACCCTTGCCTGCAGTAATACTTGTAAAAGCAAAAAATTAAGGTTTGGAATGACCCAAACCACCAAATTATGGCGCTAAAAACCTAGGCAGAACAACAGGATCTAACAATTCAAAAGGATCCAATAAAAGTAACAAGGTTTATTATAAATATATATATAAAATATGATATAAATAGACAGTACTATTGTAAGACCAGGATATTACATCCGGCACCAATCACTGGGAAATGTTGTTTAGGGTACACTCAAAGCCCTGTTAGTCATGACTCCTAGGGGCTAGGGGATACCTTCTTGATAAACACTGTGGTGGTAATCAGGTCTCTGTACTTGTAGTCTGGCTCAGCTCAATGCATTTCATCCCGCAGTATTCGGGACTTCTTCAGGAGCCGGGGATGATCTGTGGGAACCTTCGGTGCTACTTCTTAAATATGAAGATCTTTGTGCCCAAACTGGTATTCGCAAATGCACGCGAGGGCATAACCTTCCGTCTCTTCGCATTTATCGGCGCACACTCATGCGTCAAATACTGTGGACTATTGGAAGAGCCCAGCGCGCATGTGCAACCATTCTGGAACGCACACATAGCTTTATTAGTACCCAAACAGCCTCTACATTTTGACACAAATCTGTACATAAGTAGAAGTCGTATGTAGTAGCGAGTTCGTAACATTTGGTGACTCAGCATAAACGGACACTTTGGTGTATACCACAAATGAATAATATGTGTAATATATGCTGAAACAATACTTATAAATAACAATGTTATATTTAAAAAATCCATATACAATATACAGATAAAAAAACATATACAATATACAAATAAAATAAAATATACAGATAAAATAAAAAAAAGGATAATAAGGGTGAAACAAATAATATATATACCGTATTTTCCGGCGTCTAAGACGACTGGGCGTATAAGACGACCCCCAACTTTTCCAGTTAAAATATAGAGTTTGGGATATACTCGCCATATAAGACTACCCCTCTTCCAATGCACACCAAATAAAAATTAGCCATGATGTACAGTGAGCAGACAGAGCTACACAGCAAGACATTAAATAATGATAATCTGAAGTAGCATTTAAAGCCCAGGTATGTGCCAGGCTGTTTGGGCATATAATCCATGCCTGCTGGTCTAGCACACAGGAGGCTAATTGCGATATATTCTTTTTACTCTGTGGGGATATTTATGGGATAATAATAGTAACAGTGAGAATTGCCCACTAATTCAATTCTCAGATCCCAAAGAACGTTTATCGCGTTAAGTGGAATGTATTTCATATAATTAATATCACAATGTATAAAAATAGATTTTATTTATGATAACTAATAATTAACAAATAATATTATGTAACATGCATGACAATAATCAATGAATATCCAGTATAAAATGATATGCAATACAAAGAAATGGGTGTTACGTTTCAATGGCTAAACGGCATTATCTGTCAAGAATTCTGACGATTTATGAGGTATCCTTAACACAGACTTAAGTGAAACTTTTCACAGCGAAGAACAGAATTCCTCAGAGTGCAGCGTAAGGTCGTAAAGTTTAGCAGACAGTTAGAATAACCCTTTCAATGCTGGCTAGATCTCCTAGGTAGTTAAAATCTATTCTTATGTAATTTTAAATAAAATAACATTTAACCCAGTTCATTAGTCATTTTCTGAAACCATCCAATAAGAGAATCTAACATATTATATAAGCAGATTTTTAATTTGTCTAAAAGATATCTATCTTAATTTAGAGCAAATCAATACACCTGGATAATATCACATCAATATATAATTATTCTTAATTCCACCTGCAGAATGGAATGTTTATAACTATATTCTTTAGTTAACTAAGATTTCTTAATATGGAAATCTGACCGTGCTTTATCCAGTCATATATAATGCTATTAATACATTTTAATTAATTTAATTAATTAAATGAAACCAGTATAATTACCAGTTGAGTAGATATTTCATCCGATTGGTAGATAGTCTCAGGAACTTATTTGGATGTCTCTCTGCATGGAGGTGTTGGTGAAAGTCAGTAAATTCTAAGTGTTAGAGTTTTAGGAGTAGAGTGTTAGTCTCAGATGTTGTCCGAGTTGGAGTTCCCAAACTTCCAATTCCTCTCTCCTCTCCTTTGCATATGTCCTGCATCTGCCTCCTCTCGTATTTTTCTATCCTCCCTTTGTCTTAACTTTTAAAGGGCCAGACTCTATGTACGTCATCAGTTGATAACCCAATAGAAGCACTAGAGGTGTGGTTATCTTCCAGATCGCAAATTAGTTATTTGGTCTGTAGAGGGCAGTCTTGTCCCACTAAACATACCTATCCAGGAAAGAGTTAACTTTTCCTGGTGGCTATTTTGACGTCATTTTGGCCTATCTAGATAATGGCTATAACTTATGTATCCTTCAAAGATCAAAGGGTTTCTTAAATTTTGTCCAGACTTAGCGTCTGCAATTCCTGCCATAATTTCTGATATGACAGATCATGAACTAAGTTTACCCTTTACCATACAATGGTACCTTATATATATATAGACAGTTAAATTTTATTATTTAATCTTCTCTGTCACAATTGTCTGGGTTTAGATTTGATTATATTCTTCTTATCACTTGTTTATACTATGCTATGCATTCCTTAGCTCTGGCAAAGAGGCCAGTCTTACAGAAAGAAATCTAGTGTCTTCTTTGTTAACTTGAAATAACAAAATGGAGTCTGGTCTGTTCAGAGTGACTCAGAATATACACTTTTAGTTTCTATCATAGCACAAAATGTCTGCCGATATAAATACTCTGACATAACCCCCCTTTAGTGCATTTCATAGCCAAAATTAATTTAGCTTATGAATAAGCACTATAGAAGTTACCAGACATATTGTGCAATCACATCATTTCTAACATAGGCCCGTGCGTGGAATGAACATTTTTGTATATATTTGTACCTGTAATAGTTTTGAACTTTACACTTAGTACAATCAACCATAATATCATTATTACATAGTACATTATTTTCATTTGAAAAATGTTTTTGGGAGTTACATATGGTATGGTCAATAAAAAGCAAATCTCCATACGTTCCGGATTAATTAAGAGAGGTATCTCGCTCCCCATCTCAAAGGCCAGATTTAATTGCATAGGCTCAATTGTCTCTCCATCCACATTGGCAAGCATCGCATGAACAATATCCTTGGATACAAAGTACAGAGGTATGCGTCCCCCTGCCAATTCGATCATTCCAGTTTGTACTTCGTCAAGAAAAGCAAGTGTGTGGAACAATATTGGGTCATGCAGAAATAGAAGTTCACGCTTAAATAAGTCATGACTTTGGTGCAACTCAGTGGATTTGGCAATTAATTCCGAATGCAAATTTGTTGTAACAACTGTGTCTTCCACAATAGTTAACACATCTTGGAGAAGTGTTCTTTGCTGTTGTATCACCTGATGAATATCGTTAATGTGTTGCTTTAGCGCATAGATTTCCATATCCAGCTTTTGGACAGTAATAGAGTTGGCTGCAGACATTCCAGTTGCGACAACTGCACCGACAGTGGCACAAACTAATGCAACAATTATAGCGGTGAGGAACCTTTTGGGTCGGTTGCTCATCGGAATAGAACTGGATACAAATGGTTTCCGGGCTTGCTCCAAGATGTTTTGCACACGGTCCTGTGCTCTTTGGAGGTGCATCTGGTACCAAGTCTGTAACTCAGGAAGCTGCATCGATGAAATGTTGTATGCCTTCTCGATGGAAATCTTGGGGTCCAAGCTGACGAACACACGTCGGGTCAGGATCCTCTTCTCTGTTAAGATGAACCCTGGTGTCTCTTGAATCAGGATGCGGGAGGATGGTCCCATCTCTGCAATCGGGTCGGTCCGTAGCTCTTGGCACAGGAGCAGTACGATCCAGAAACACGCCACATCCTTCTTGGACATCTTTCGACAGTCACGGATCAGGAACTCGTTTCAGACTTATCTACTAATGATTCAAGGTTTGTCAAGCATACAAACTTATAACAGTGTGACATCACTTGGCCTAGGTCAACACATTTTTACGATTCATCACATATGTATTCTGTCTAATTCTATTTTTATAACTTCATCCTTCACTACATTTATTACTGACTCTTCAGTAATTTCGCCTATAGCAGTTAAACAAGCTAGTAACCTGCTTAGAAAATGTAGTTATTGGATGGCAAGGAAATGGTTAATGACATGAACGTACATGAGATCATGGCACATCACAACATTTCACATCATACTATACCACATGAATCAAGCATTCATCCAGGTTAGTCGTTCACCCTTCTGCGTCTGAATCCACACCTATAATCCTTAATTGAGATTTAGGATGACAAGCACGCAACTGGTTAATGTGAACCCACTTTTCAATAAAATCACCATCCTTAGGAATTTTTATCTTATACGCTACTGGGGAAATTTTGTCAATAATGACATATGGCCCTTTCCAAGAAGGTAAAAATTTCTTTTCCTTGACTTGATTTCGCGCAAAGTTATACAGATAGACTTGATCTGTTATCTCATATTCCTTTTTCGTGGTTTTTAAATCGTAATAGGTCTTAACCCATGTCGCTGCTTTTTCTAGATTCTTTTGGGCAAAAGCAAATGCATGCTGTAAATGCTTGCGCAAATCTTCAATATACTGATGCGTAGTGGCAGCATTGATCAAGTTATGATCCGAAGTACGATATAGTAAATGCTGTGGTAAAACCATCTTTCTTCCTGTCATCAATTCAAAAGGTGACAATTTGGTAGCAGTGCTAGGTGTAGCTCTAATCACCATTAAAACTAGGGGCAATTTAATGTCCCAGTCTTTACCAGACTCCTTAACATACTTCTTCAGAATATTAACGATAGACTGGTTATATCGCTCTACCCCCCCGCTAGACGCAGCGTGGTATGCAATATGTAGCTTTCGTTTAACACCTAGAATGTTCCACATCTTAGCCATTACTTCACTGGTAAAGTGACTACCTCTGTCTGACTCAATTCTTTGAGGCAGACCGAACCTGGAAAAGACATGGTTAATCAACAAAGTGGCGCACACGGTACTCGTGTTCTCTTTACAAGGCAAACATTCTATCCACTTTGTGTACATACATGTAACGGTTAACATGTATTTGTTACCTCTTGAAGATCTTGTTACAGGACCTATAAAGTCAATTTGAATATCAGACCAGGGTAATGACACCCCCCTCTTCTGAAGTGGTGCACGATGGGTTGGACCATGGGGTTGATATTGCGGACAAATCAAGCATCCCTGACAGTATGTCTTAACATCCCTTAACATGTGTGGCCAATATGCATAATCACGCAATATCTCATATGTGATCTTATCACCACGATGCCCAGATGTAGGTGCATCGTGTGCGTGTTGGAGCATTAACCCTCTGTATACAGTTGGGACTACCCATTGTTGTATACCATGTTTAGAAGTTCTGACCAGCAACCCATCCATGATACTAAATTGGACTTTATATCTCATCAAGATTCGTAAATCTTCATTATTTTTGCAATCCTCATCTGTGATGGGATTGGCAGTAGGGTCTTCTATATGTTTATAGAATATGCCTATGACGGGATCATTCTTTTGACTAGTAATCAGGTCATCACTAGGAGCTTCTTGACTCCATTGCACGACATTTAAGTCGGTATTATCTCTAGCCTGTCGTCTTGTTATGGCTTCAACATGAATTGAACCCATAAGATCATCAATGTTTAGGGTTTCACCATTGATGGCAGCTTGTTTTGCCAGTGAATCAGCTAAGTCATTACCATTAGTGATGTACCGAACGGTTCGCCAGCGAACGGTTCCTGGCGAACATAGCATGTTCGCGTTCGCCACGGCGTGCGAACATAT